AATTTCTATAAAGAACCTTAATGGACTAAAAGACATGATCATATATTTTGACTCCTAATACATTTCTAAAATACTTTATTTAATAGCAAATACATGATTAATGTCAGTTATTTCAGTTGGAAGATGAACTATCCTGTGTTTTAACAGTCAGGAAGTCCTGCTGTTCTCATAAAGGTGCTTCGTAGATATTTTATTCATTTGAACATTTACACTGGAGGTCTGAATCCTCATAAATAATACATTAATAGAAGTAAAGAAAGGCTATGTATTTTGAGTCAAAGCAAATTGACAGCAATGGTAATGTATTCTTTTATCACATAACAGTGAGGAAATAGTAGGAAGATAATAACTGGTATTAATTACTGAAAGTGTTTAAACATGACAATTAAGGTAGGAAACAAGGAAACATCTTGGTGAATATTTGAAGATAGGCCTATTATTTTCTTCCTTCCCCTTATTTTTTTTTAAGAAGAGTTGTGGGCTTGGGATTTTAATCTGTTCATTCTAGAATCGTAAGCATTTTCTAACTACATACATTTTTAACTTTTACTTTTCACAGGAGAAATTCTCAAAGTAGTGCCAATTTATGCTTGTGTCCTGGAATGTTGGCATTTATAAAGACTATTAAGTACCATAGTATTTATGTAACCCCTTAAAATTGCACTTTTCTATTGAAAGTCAGTAAAAGCTTAGTCCTCTGACCTGTTGCAGTTAGTCTCTGCTGGTACCTTGTGCCTCAGCTTCTCACTGCCTGGAAGCACATTATTTAAACCTTCCTCATTTCGTGAGAACTGACCATTAGTATTCCTTGCTCTTGACTCAGAAGTCTCAGACCTTGTAGCTAGATGTATTCTTGTGGATTGCCTACCAGGCACTCCTTTAATTGACATACTGGATTTTGGAATGGATATCCCAGATCCCTTTCCATATTCTAGATTATTAATGCCTTTTTATAATTTTAAGTAATTTTTTGTTTTCTAATCAGTGATCGTCTAAACTGAAATATATTAAGTTTCTTGTCTGGCTTCTCTAAGCTTGTCTGTCTCTATTACCATTCCTAGCATAGTGTTATTTTTCTAATTTTGCACAAGTGTAATGATTGAAAAGTAATCATAGTCTTAGAATTGTCAAAGGTAATAAATAGTTCATACTCAATGGGTATTATCACTATTGAACAATTTTACATCACCAAAAAGGACATCAGAAGTTGACAAAAATATAAATGGAAATTGACAAAGCTTCAGTGTTGGTGAGATGTCTCACTACTTCTACCTTGCTGTATTAAAGGTACCAAAGGTGAGTAAAGATCAAACAGATTAAACAGACATGATCTGATGGCCCTATATATAACAATGTACCCATAATGGAGATACTATTTCTTTTTGAGCATTCATGGAAAAGTTATACACACACACACACACACATTAAAAAACACACACACACACAATCCGAAATATAAATAGTACATTGTAAATTTATAGGATGCTGTAGTTAAAGTGGTTAAGGGAAATTTATAACCATAAATGCTTACCAAGAACAGAAAAAAGGCTTAAAATTAATGACTCATGCATTCAACCTAAAATTTTAGAACAGCAGAATTAACACAGATAAATTACAATGAAATGACATAGAGAAGAATGTAATGAAGTAGAAAATAAACATGTAATAAAGAGGATCATCAAAGTCAAATGATGGCAGAAAAGAAAAATAGAAGAGACAAACCTCTATCAAGTTTAAAAATGGATAAAAGAAGAAAAACAATATTAGTGATGAAAAGGAGACATAAATACAGGTGTTGTAGAGAGTCAACAGAAAAGGGGATATTTACAGTTTTGTGCAAATACTTTGAAAAACTTATATAAAATGTCAAAATTGGCTCAAGGAGAAAGGGAAAACCTGAGTAAGGGTAACCAGTGAAGAAGCAGAATCAGTAGCAAATATTTTTCCACGAAGCAGCAATGGATGCAAACAATTTCATAAATGAGTTCTAAGAACAGATAATACTCATTTTATAAAAACTCTTGCAGAGAATAAAAATACAGCGCTTTTTAGCTCATTCAATAAAACTAGGCATAACCAAAACCAAACAAGGAAATAAAAGAAAGTAAATCTGCAGACCAGTATCAACAATGAGCATTGATACTGATCTAACCACCATACATGGCACACAACTATTAAACATCAATGTTGTACCCCACGTGTATGTATAATAAATAACAAAAATAAGAGTCTAAACAAAATATGAGCATTCTAAACCTAGTATTTCAGTTTGGTTTTTTTAAGAGAGAAAATTAAGTTTATCTCTGGAAAGATAGAAAAGAGACTACGTATCATCTACCACAATCACTAGTGATCTCAATAGATGCAGGAAAATGTTTGATAAAATAGAGCATCCATTTCTGGATGTATATTCTCTCTTCTCTAACTCTTTCTCTCCCTTTTATATGTATATGTGTATATATATATATTTTTTTATGTGTGTGTATATATTTATATATGAAAACACACACACACAGTCTCCATATATCATATATATGATTTGTCTATGATATATATATATATACTTTATGTGCACACACATATATTCTGATTTATTTATGTGTGTGCATGTGTTTAATACAGAAGGGAGTTTCTTTTACCTGTTAAAGGCCATCCACCAAAAACCTATGATCAGACTTAGAGATAAAGTGTTGAAAATATTTCCTTTAAGAAGAAATTCAAGGGGATGAAAATATAAAATTCAGGATTCTAGCTACTTCAGGGTTGTTGGGGATGGAGAGGAGAAGAACATGTGACCAAGGCCAAGTACCAAGGGGCTCTTTTAATGTACTGGTACATTCTCCATCTTAGCCTGAGTAGTGGGAATGTTGGTTTTTATTTTATTATTTTTCTTTAACTGCATCTCATTTTATGGACACTTTTTTGTGTATACTATCATTCACAATTTTTTTTTTTTGGTTATAACACCATGCTCTAACCAGTGGAACTCCCTGGTCAGCCCCTAGTTTAATGAGTTAATGAGAGATGCACTATAGAGGCTTGTTTGTGAAGGATCAAAGGTCAAAGGCGATTTTCTGGAAATTTATGCAAATGTGAGTGAGCACAGTTTATGCATATGCATTATTTGTGTAATACTGTCTAGCAAAGTGGAACTGACAACACATTTCCCTTCATGTAGAAGGGTGGGAGGACGAGGTGAAAAGACAAAACTTACAAGGTCCCTTGGTGCTGGTTAATGGGGTCAGTCAATAGTTTCTCTTTGAAGAATCTCTTATTGTAGTAGGGTGAGAATTTCAAATGAACATAGAAAGCAGTATAAATACTTTCAAAGGATTTCGAAATTAAAGGAGAAAAAATATCAATTTAATATATAAAAGCAGTTTTAGGAAGAGAATTTAGTTTAAAAGGTCAGCAAATTCTGTGGAAGACTATTAGACTGTGCCTACGTGATTACTAGAAATCTTTGATTTCAGTTATAAGAACATGTCTGCAAGGGTTAGTCTTCCAAATTTAACCATGCGATACTAAACAAAGAAGGGTATGACATGGGAATTTACTCTAGAGTTGTCAGGCAGCTTGCCTGACTGTGTTGAAGGCTTAATATTCCACATACTAAATTGAGAATTTTTCTCTACTCCCTTATTTTGGTTGTAAATCTATTTTTATTTCTATTTTACCTCTGCCTTTTCTCAGACCAACTTAATGCTATGAAATGTCAAAAAAAAAGATACTTTGCTAACCTCTTTCTAGAAGTCTGAAATTGAAATTAAGCTACTTTCCCATCCTGAGTCTCTCTTTTCCCTCTGGCATATGACTTTAGTTGCAAAAGAACTGTCTTTATCTACATGCTAGTTTCTTCAGTCATTGAAATGGGCTCTGCTTTATTGTACACATTTATGATATTATAAATACTATAATAGGAAAGGAAAGCATCATCACAGTTCAATTTTTTGTTATACTCACTTTCAAGTATAATAATTTTCTGTATTTTGCAGGCTTTCTCAATAATGTTTATAAAATATAGACAGCTCCATGAAAATGGTAATTTTTTTTTAAGACAACATAAGAAAATTGGTATTTTTTTATTTGATGATTTATTTTTAACATGAATCTTTATTTGGCTAAATTTCATATTTTCTTCCTCTTATGTGGTATTTTGTTTAATGGCATTTTCTTCATTCTGTGCTGTCTCATTGTCTGTGATCTCCGAGAGTCATGAGAAATATTGATAAGATTTTTTAATATCAGGTGTGTGCCAGTTAAGTTTGTAAATAAGCTAGAATGAATTGGTGTGTGGTAAAGGCAAGATGCTATTAATTAAAAGATAAGCCAAGAAAACATGTTATTTTATTATGATGATTTGTAAAGCCAGATGTCGACAGACTTACTGTATTCCTAAGAGAATGTATTGGGAAATTAACTGTAAAATGCTCATATTTTTATGATGCATATTTCTTTCTTTTTAATGGGAGCTTTAAAAAGTCACATAAAGCAATTGACCTGAGATAATTACTTCCACTATCTAAAAAAAAAAAAAAAAAGACAATGTTTAGTTAAAACTTTCCAAGAAAGAAAACCATTTGGGGGTAAACCTTCAGCGTGCAAAAATAGTTCTCTGGGAAACTATCACTTATGTAAACAATTCCTTAGCAATTTTTCCTAGATGTCTGTAAAAGCGGTGTTATAATTCACATTTGAATTAATGAAATTATAGATTTTAATAGCTACATCTATAATGCTTTACCTTAATGTAAATCTTACAGCACTCATGTCCAACATGCTAATTTTCTGAACAGCTGAATAACTATTACAAGCTGTAGAGTTTATTGTTATTTTCCTTCTTGATGGTGCCATCTGTCACAAACAAAAGAAAGATAAAAATCTCACTGAGCCACAAAAGATTCTGTATTGCTTAATGTGCCTTCTATGGAGACACATGTATCTGGAAAAAAAAAATTTAATGCTGCATTTTTAAGAAGATCTTTGTTACTTCATTGCAGATGGGGAACTCAAGGAGATTTTACCACTACCCATCCTCGGCCTGTGGTCAAAGTAAAACTCTTCACAGAAAGCACTGGGGTCCTGGCCTTGGAAGATAAAGAACTGGGAAGGGTGAGTTACGGTCAGCCCTGTGTGTCTGCAGTAGCACAATTTTGACTTCTTTTGATTCAAAGATAAGGTGGACCACTATGCAGTATGGAAACTTTCTGTTCATAAATTACATGAAATCATTTATTTGTAATTTCCCATAAGCCCAATTTATACCTCTAATTTATTAAATATAACTGTTGACAACACAGAAAGTATTATGATAGGCTTTAGGTGGGCTCGTAGTCACTGACTCATTGATTCTTCTCACACAAGTGCTCCACAGCCATTGAATATGAGTGACACTGGACACTTGTCCTTCTTGGTGAAAGGTAATTGTCATTTGATACATTTCTGCCTATAGGTTAAAAGGATCATTTTTATATTTGAAATAATCTGTTCGTGTTCATTATGATTAGGCTAATTACAAAATATCTCTTAAGTACATGTGTCTTTCTCATTTCTTCCATTTTCCCTGTGAAGTCTCCCTTCCCTTTTTAATACTGAATTATTTTTTTCTTCCTATAGTCATCTCATATCTAGGATATATTTATTCTCTAATCCCAGTATACCTCCACTATATTCAGCTTCTACTGGTAGTAAAACCGTTATAACATTAGGTAGATTGGTGATCTTAACACCTCTCTGAGTGAAAGGTTATCTGCAGTCCTATTTACAAAGTAGTTGTGTTCCAAGGAGTGTTCTATAAATTTGTCTTCTGTAAGGTGAGTCTATCTTATCCTGATCTGAAGACTGCATTCATAGATATTTTCCAGAGAATAAACCCTTCAGGAATCTCACTTGAAGATTTCTGGTAACGATGGACAGCTTGTGCAATGTTAGATGTTAAAGGATACTGGAATCATTCTGTATATTGGAAAACTTTTTTCCTAAAATCAAGATTTCTATTTGTTTCAAATTCTCTTCTTCTACCTCCTTGACACTGTTTGAATATTTCCATTTCTAGGGATTTAGTGAGTTTATGCCTATACTCTAGAGATTGTGAGACTGCACTTAAACATTCCAGATTTCCTCTTCCGTTTCCTTGGTACATGTGTTTGTTAATACGTAAAACAGCAGTGCTATACTGTTCATTCATGTCCTTATATATTGATATTTTATTTATTCAACAAAGATGTACAGGTAGCATAATCTAACAGAATAGACTTGAAGACTACCTATGGTTTTTATGGACTTATGAATCAGGACTTTTATTTAAACTATCATTACGTTAATTTTACCTTGTTTCCTTACTGTAACTATTTTTCAGTATACAACAGCAGCCATTTTAATTCTAATGCTGAAAGTAATTCTTAATCTATTTTTAATTTACTTCCCAGCTGGTCAAATAATATAGCTAAGCAATTTTTAAGTTGGATACATAAGTGATATATTTTTTACACAATTGTGTATCTGAGTAAGGTCTTTTTCTCCCATGTTGCCTTCCATACAAGAAAGACGAGTTTGTTTTTTTTTTGTTTTGGTTTTTTTTTAAATCTATTCCAAGGTTTCTGAGTCTTAGCACTCTTGGTATTTTGAGTAATATAATTCTTTGTTATTGGGTGCTATCCTGTGCATTTTATGATATTTAGCAGCATCCCTGGCTTCTAGTTAATAGATGCCAACAGTTTTCTCCTACCCCTACCTCCCAGTCAAGAATGTCTACAGACATTGCCAAATGTCCCCTGGGAGGTTGTGCAAAATAATTCCTGCTTGAGAAACACTGACCTATACTAATGACCTCAGTAGGTTCCAAGATTATAAATATCATTTATGTGTCAATGACTAGCAAATTTTTATTATTTTTCTTCCTTGAGGTTTATATATCTAACTGGCATATGTTGTATTTCCAGTTGTATATTAATAGATATCTCAAACTAAAGATTTTTGAAATAGAACTTATGGTTCACACCCCCATAAAGTCTTCCAATAGAGGTAGTTGTCAATCCAACAAGACTTGTTTATTCTTCCCTCACCCTAATACCCCATCTATTTGCAGGTTCTGTCAGTTTTTTCCTAAAATTTTCAAAACATATCCACATGTTAATATCTACACTACCCTAATTCATGGCACCATCATTTCTTACATACCCACTCACACATACTACTGTAATAGTCTATTACTTCCCATTTACCATCTGTGCTCTCTGATCCAGCCTTCACACCTAACCACTTGTATTTAAAATTCAAAACAAATCACATCATTCAGTCCTTAAAATCTTCCAGTGTCCTCCTATTTGTTTGGAATATAAATTAGACTCTTCATCATAGTGTAGCAGCTCTGACAGGGGTGTGGCCCTGGACCAACAGTATCAGCAGCACCTGGATGAGTGTTAGAAATGCAGATTCTCAGGCCCAACTCTGGATCTGCTGAATCGGAAACTCTGGGGGTGGGAAGCTGCAATCTGTTTAATAGGCCCTCGTGGTGATTTTGACATACCAAAGTTGAAGAACCCCTGCTCTATAGGAACCCTTTCTCTCTCCAAATTCATCTTCTGTTATTACCTCCATGTTTACTGTCATTCTTCTTTTGCACCTGGCTTTCCTTCTGTTCCTCAGTCATCACAGACTCACCCCTGCTTTAGAATGCAGGTCTTTAGATGTGCTGTAACCTAAGCATGCATGCGCTCACACACAGTTGGAAGAAATTGGTAATTATTTCTGGATGGTAATATCACTATTTCTCTCATTCTACAATTAGAAAAATAACTTATTTTAATTTTAAGAAGTCCTTACATGATTTGAACTCTATAAAATTTTATGAATATGTATAATCTAGGGAGTTTGGGTTTTAAAGTTAGGTTTTTTTAATTGAAAATTTGTATGGCACTTGAATTTTAAAGATGAGCAACAGAGAACATAAAATAGGTTTATACCACAAGTACCACTGTACACCTACTTTTAACATACAGAAAAACTGATACTAACACATGCTGGTGAGGACGAAGAACAGAAACTCTCATTAACTGCTGGTAAGAATGCAAAATTATACGGCCACTTTGGGAGACAACTTGCCAGTTTCTTATAAAGTTAAACATTGACTTACTACTTGACCTAGAAATTGCACTCCTAGGTATTTACCCAAGGATTTATGAAGTTTATGTCCACACAAAAATCTGTTTGTGAATGTTTATAACAGTTTTATTAATAATCACTAAAGACTGGAAGCAACCAAGATGTTCTTCAGCAAGGGAATCAATAAGCTATGGTCAATTCATACAATGGAAAACTATTCAGCGATAGAAAGAAACAAGTTACTGATTCATCCAGTAACCTAGATGAAACTTAAATGCAAATGAAAGTAGTCAGACCAATAAGATTACATATTGTATAATTTCATTCATTCTAGAAGAGGCAGAATTATAAGGATGAAAAACAGTGTTTACCAGGGATTGGACAAGGTGGGGAGTGGCTGGCTAAAAAGGGGTACACAGGAAACTGTTAGGGTGAAGGACATGTTTTGTATGGTACTGAGGGTTGGATGCCTGAATATATGTATTTGCCAAAACATATAAAACTTTAGTGTATGCAAACTAACATACACATGCGCACACGTGCCGGCCAGTCAGCCAGCAGAGTCAAAGAGATCCCAGGATGGAATGAAGACTAAAACAGATGAAATTAATTGTATTGCAAAAGTAGTAGCTTCACAAAAAAAAGGGGTGAGAAAAGAAGCAGACTTAAGTAACCTAAGGAAAAAACAGTAACCTGCAAACACTACCTGAATACTAAGTGATGAAGATTAACACTACCAGTGATTTCATGTAGCTGTCACATACACCCTAATATGATGTTATGAGAAGGACATATTTCATCTCTGTGGTATTCTTTCCCCAAACCTCAACATAAGCCCAGTTTAATCATGAGAAAAACATCAGGAAAACTCAGATTGAGAACACTGTGCAAGATAGTTGGCCAGTACTCTCGAAAACTAAGGTTATAACAAAACTGAGAAACTGTCACAGATCAGAGGGGACTAAGGAGAAATGACAAATAAATGCAATGTAGTATCTTGGATTAGACCTTGGAACAGTAAAAGGACATTAATGGAAAAACTGGTGAAATCCAAATAAAGTCTGGAGTTTAGTTAATTGTAACATACCAATGTAAGTTTCTTGGTTTTAAGAAATGTACCATGGTAATGTATGCTGTTAATTATGGGTGAACTGGGTGAGATGTGTACAGGAACTCTCTATACTATTTTTACAACTTTTCTGTAAATCTTAAATTACTCTAAAATATAAAGCTTAGTTTTGAAAATTTTATAATAAAACAAGCCTTTTAAATATTTTTTAAATGCTTCAGTATATATGTATATATATATTCTCTAAGAAATGAACATTTTCTTACATCGGTTAATTCCATTATCACACAGGAAATTTAGTATTGATATACAGTCAATGTGATATACAGTCAATATCTAGAGTTCTTTAATTATCCCAACATAACTATAAAAGCTGTTTTTTCCCCCAATCCAGATACAATCCAGGATCGTGTATTGCATTGGATTGTCATGATTGTTTCATTTCCTTCTTTTAGAATGTCCCACTCTGGCTTTTTCTTTTTTAAGACATTTTTGAAGAGTCCAAATTAGTTTCGTAGAATGTTCTTCATTCTGGATTTGTCTTTTGTGATTGGATTCCAGCAAACACCTTTGGCAAGAACAGCTCTTACATGATGTTTTGTGGTTCCCATTGTGTCCTATCAGGAGCCATATAGTGACAATTTTCCCAGTATTGGTGATGTTAAGTATGATCACTTGGTTATGGTGGTGTCTGCTAGTTCTCTCTATTATAAAGATGACTTTTTCATTTGATTTTAATAAATTGTGGGATGTTTCTTTGAGAAAGTTCCTCCAACCACCTTTCACCCAGTGATTTACCTACAGATTCATGGGTTTTTAGAGACTTACTGTGTTAACAATCAATTTCTATCATTATTCTTTTTTGATGATCAGATTGTGCCAAAGACATGTGTTTCTGTGTTTCTTTTCTTTATTCTCTTCCAATGTAAACCCACCAATC